TTAGTTTGAGAATGTCCATATAGGACGAAACTGCAGTAACGTTAGTTACAAATAAAAGTGGTAAAAAACATAAAAATTTTCATTTCTCTTTTCATTACGACAGTATTTTTAATAACTATGTTGTTGAACAATACAAAAAACGAGGTTATAATTTCACTTTACTTCCTTTTGACACTAGCTTTTTTGCTATAATATGCAATGTTGCCAAAATGTTAATCCGGATTACCTAAACCATCCGCGGTGCATTAGTATTTAATCTAAAAGACGTAATTTAGATTAACTAATCGCGATTAAATTTAAATACGGTGCATACGAGCATAAGCGTGTTAGTGAACGGTGCATATAGGCGCATTTAACTAAGTAATGTGGCTCTCAAGCACCGAAAAAACAACAGAAGAAGAAATAAAATGTAATTTTGTAAGGTTATGTTATGTTATTTTCTTAATAACATATTAAAGTTATAAGTGTGTATTGCAATTATCAAACTCTGCAATTATCAAAATCAAAAGTCCCAAACAAAATGTCGTTCAAAGGAGCAGAATGGGACTCCGACGCATTAGGAAATGTATGCAATGAATTATTTGAAAAAAAGGTAAATACAAGTTTTTTAATTCACCGTTGAGCCAACCGATTATTCCGATGGATTCATCTGTTGGTCCAATCGAAAGGTTAGCGCGTTTGTACAGCTTGAAGCATTTCATTGTACATTTTCTGTAAATTTAACTCTAACTCTCCTCAGTTTTCTATGAATATAGTAGTTTTTAAGAAGTGATTCAAATACTTTTAATTTTTATGGAACAAAAGACAGTGTAGACATATAACTGACAAGCAGAATTGAATAACTACAATATCAGTCAATTGAAAAGTCACTGATCATATCATCCATTTGATATTTTTCAGTATTTTCCCATAAATTCATGTTAAATATTTTTATCCTATATGTAGATCGACATGTTGACGACACGGATTTTAATTAATAGAAATTTGAAGAGATCATTCTTTGAAAGTGGAATAATTCGTTTTACCCCAGTTACAAATGTTTTCGTTCCCAGATTGTTTTCGAATTCTGTGAAAAAAAACCAAAGTATTGATGATGTGGAGAAGAATTTTTTCTCCAAATACTTGATTATAGAAAATGAAACTATCTTTTCAAGAAAATCTTCAAAAGTTGTAAAGTACTCATTCACATTCCTGGGATTTTCGTTAATTTTACTGGGGACTTATGTGATATTTGAAGTATGCAAACCTGAAGTAATTGAATCAGAAATTCCATTATGGCAACAATATTTACTGGGAGTTTGGAAACAGGTGCAAAGCTTCACACTCTTTATTCAGGAACCATCTAGAGAAAAGCTGTTACCAGATCCTGTTCCCTATCCTTACTATCAACCACCTTATACATTGGTTTTGGAGTTCACTGATGTTTTAGCACACCCAGATTGGACTTACAGTACAGGGTGGAGATTTCAAAAGCGCCCAGGATTAGATTATATGCTGGAAAACCTTGTTGGACTATACGAAATTGTCGTATTCACTGCTGAACCTGGCATTACCATTTTTCCTGTCATTGAAGCCATAGATCCTAAAAATTTAATTTCTTACAAACTGGTTAGAGATTCAACTCATTTTGTAGATGGTCATCACGTAAAAAATCTGGACAAGCTTAACAGGGACTTGAAAAAAGTCATTGTAGTTGATTGGAATTCTCAATCTTTGAAGTTTCACCCTGATAATCATTTGAATATACCAAGGTGGAAGGGAGAAAATGAAGATTTAGCTTTATTAGATCTTACTGCTTTTCTGAAAACAATAGCGACTACAGAAATAGAAGATGTTCGAGATGTTTTGAAATATTATAAAAATTTTGAGAATCCTCTTAGAGAATTCAGGAATAAACAGAAGGAGTATTTAGAGCAGAAAAATAAATTGGATCAAGTGCCCTCAGAAGGACCATCGATCAAAAGAGTTTTTAGTTATATAATGTAGGTGAAATTATATAGTCATGCAATATATGTATCATTACAATAAAAAAACTTCATATTTCAAGAAATATTACTGGGATTTGAATTACAAAAGTTTACTCTATCAGTACACAATAAACGTTTTAATGAATATTTCTTGTTTGGGGTCACTTCTATGTCCAATAAAATTCTAGTTTGTTTCATTTAAAAATTTGTATTTTAAAATATCTTGGATATACTTTATGTCGAAATTCAACGTCATATTTACTCATTGTTTTTGTCTCTTATAGTAAATTTAAACTTTTTGTATAAGGAATAAGATAAGTTCTTAGACTTTAGGTTGAGTTCTTAGACTTTATATATATTCAACCTAGAAAAAGTAAGCATGAGCAGTATTTACCAAGAGGATGATCAAGTTAATTCAGTGAAATAATATTTCTATATGCTATTTGGATTAATTTGAACCATTTCTTTGCTAAATGAGTACTGAAAACTTAATTATTGGAAATATTAACACAATGACAAGAAGAAAAATGAGTTGTGAGAAATGAAACTATATGTTTGTTTTTACCACTTTTATTTGTAACTAATGTTACGGCAGTTTCGTCCTATAAGGATATTTTCAAACAATTACAGTAAACCATTGTAATTGGACGAAACTATATTAACAAATAAAAGTGGTAAAAAACAGAAAGTTTTATTTCTCATTTTGTGTGTAGAAATGATTGATTCATTGATTTGACAATTTTTTCTCAGAAAACCTACGATTTTCTTCAACAATTTGTTGTCAATATTGGTTGTTGAAATGTTTTGTTTCAAGAAAAACAAGAAATATTGCAAGAAAATTGTGGAATATGAATGAAAAAAGTATGTATGGAAGTCGTGTGTAGAGGAAGATAAAATGTACAATCCTCATCTCTGGTATCTTTCTCATAGAAAATCCCAACAAGCTGAATACAATTAGGCTGGTCTTTGATGCTGCAGGAAAATCAAGAAGTATGAGCTTGAATAATGCTCTACTGTCTGGTTCAGATTTGTTGCAGTCATTGGTTGCAATTTTATGGGAATTTTTACAAAGGCGATTCGGTTTCTGTAGAAATTTACGAGAGATGTTCCATTGAGAAGGAATACAAGAGTGAGGTAGATATACTCAACTTTTTATTTGGCGAAATTTGAAAAGTGACACACCTCCTAATATTTATCCTAATATACAGGTAAAATCTGTATATACCGAATAGGTTTCATAGTGTTTTTTTAGTTACTCACGAATAACTCTACTCTGATGCATATATATTAAACTTTTAACAACGAATTGTCATCAAAAGTAACCAAATACCTTAGCATAAGGCTGGTTTCAAATTTTAGATTGCTCGTGTTAGAAATTGAGTAAGCTATATTTTGTAATCACCTTGACACATAATTGCCATAGAAGCTATCTGATCAACATCTATTATACTCTAATACACAGTAGGATCAGTTGTATCATTTTTGGAAGAGCCACCGAATCACAACATGTTTTCATTATGCAAAAAAGATTATGCTGTTGAAATACTTTTAAAGAAAATGAAATCATGACTTGTGTAGCCATACCTATACTTCCATTTTAATGAACACAATCATAATACTAGAAAAAAGAACATTATTTAAAATTATATGACTAAAGCCCATCACAATAAATTACCATTTAATTCTGGAAACTACCTCTATATTATGCTACCAGAGCAACTGAAAAAAAATGCACTGTCCAGATATTCAAATATTCATTAAAATTATACTTAACTTTACGGCAGGCGTGGTCATAAACTCAACAAAACCGGGTGCGTTGTATCAAAATGATCACGCGCTTGTTGGACTTTTAATACTTTCTAAATAACTATAATACATTTTAATTTTAGGTATATTATTTACGTATATATATATTTCGTAAGTGCATTCTACCTTCACAAAATATTTAAAACAACATTTTTCTAACTTGAAACAAAATTAAAATATTTTAAATAAACCAACTATATATAACACTTTACTGTAATATAAAAAATAAAAAACTTCTAAATCATTACACCATCTTCTTATCTATGATATCTTGTGGTATTTCTGTCAATGTTCGACTGCAAACATTGCAAACGCTTTCTATGTGCATGAGATAAATGGGGTTTTTGCATTTATATTTTTTTAATCGCCTTCGTCCTATGCAAATATGACATCTTTTGCGTTTTCCTACATTTTCATTTTCTTTTTCTTGTTGTTCCTGCTCTACTGGCGTAATACTTTTCAGGCGTTGTTGCAGGCTGGTATGAATCCCTGATGTCTGTAAACTTCGTTGAGCCATATGAGGTGAATCTAATGCGTGTGATAAAGCTTTCAAAAATTTTCTTCTTCGGATAAATTCTTGACCATACATCTTGTAAGTGAGAAATATAATACGTGAATGATGAAATGTAAACAATAGTAGTTTAAATCGATAACACTTACCAAAATATTTCTTATTAGTCAATGGGCTATGCTTGAAGACTGGCAGTAAACAAATCTAAAGCAATTGGAACTTCCGATTTTCAATTGTGGAATATCATTGACTTTAGGTCGATGATGGTCACTATCTTGCACTGATGAGTGGCTAATAAGCCCGAAACCGGTCTGCAAGTTTGCCCGTTCCATAATTGAAGGTCGACTCTTTCAGTTGTATTGCCAATTGCATATGCAGGACATTTTCTGTGAAGATTCCTGCACTGACGCCTGTCTGATATAATCCAACGCCCTTCGTGGTATTAGCCAGGGGAGTAGTTGTTTTCTGATAGGCGTCAGTCCATTAAACCTACTGTGTAGGTATATAGAGACTGGCTTGAACGTTTGAAATTCCAATTGCTTTAGATTTGTTTACTGCCAGTCTTCAAGCATAGCCCATTGACTAATAAGAAAGTTTTTATTCCTTATTTAGAGGAATCGGGCAAATTACGGATGTGCAGTTGGTTAGTACCTCGTCCACTAGATGGAGTGACATTTTTGATGTTCGCTCCAACTTCGGAAGAGGAATGAAATACTATGAAAGAATTCCGATTTTCAATTGTGGAATATCATTGACTTTAGGTCGATGATGGTCACTATCTTGCACTGATGAGTGGCTAATAAGCCCGAAACCGGTCTGCAAGTTTGCCCGTTCCATAATTGAAGGTCGACTCTTTCAGTTGTATTGCCAATTGCATATGCAGGACATTTTCTGTGAAGATTCCTGCACTGACGCCTGTCTGATATAATCCAACGCCCTTCGTGGTATTAGCCAGGGGAGTAGTTGTTTTCTGATAGGCGTCAGTCCATTAAACTTACTGTGTAGGTATATAGAGACTGGCTTGAACGTTTGAAATTCCAATTGCTTTAGATTTACTTACCAAAATAATTGACAAAGTAACAAATTTGCAAAATTTATTTTGTAACGGGTATAGGCGTGGTGTATCAATCTGAATAATATTCATATATTTTCCTCGTACCAAAGATTATTTAGAACTAACTGGTCTCATTGCGTAGTTGGGTGGGAGGTAGGAAGCTACAAGTGACGGTAACTGCCGACTGTTTACGAGTCGAAAGTACCAGCACAAAACATTGGCGTTGTATCAATCTGATTGGCCGGCCCGACGGAAGGTTAACTGAAAGTTGCTTTTGTTCACTGAGCAAATATTTAAACTTGAATACTGGTTCTTCATTAAAATTTTGGTTGTTTTTTTCAATAGTTCATAAATTATGACTACAAAAAAGATTGATCAAATTATATTTATATGTGCAATACACAGAAAAATATCCATTTCATCAGATAATACTTTTGTGGCTTGGGTGTAATGATATTCTAGATTATCCAGAAAAAAAAATTATTGTCTTATTCCAATAACACTTTTAATGTATGTATTACATTTTACAGATTATTACATTGCATAATTTCAACTCAAAGCTTTGTTTGTCTTCAGCAGCAAAAATAATCAACAGTTGTTTTCAACATGTTTGTGGAGAGTGAAACCTGTACGATGAGTTTTTTTTATTTCTGGAGTATGGAAAAAAAATTCTGATTACAGTTGACTTGCGATAGTCCGACACTACGGGACCGCAGGGGTGTCAGATTACCAAACATTGGCTCTATTTGAATATTACTGGAGTTTTTTCCTAACATCAAACCGTTATTTTCAACTCCTCGACACGTGTTTCAATCACCAAGTGATCATCTTCGTAAGATCAAACTAATCATACTTACAAAGCTATCCTTATTTATACCATAGATACCTGTTCTAGGTACCTGCCTCTTAAATTAATTTCACAATATTGCCTTATCTACTAGTCTTCAATTAATTTTACAATGTGTTCTTATGTAATAGTTAGGTGAATGTAATAATTAAAATATTAAAGGATATATAAAATTAATTTCACTATTTCATAAGGACACATTGTAAAATTAATTTAAGACTAGTAGATACGGCAATATTGTGAAATTAATTTTATATAGCTTATAATATTTCAATTATTAGATTTACCTGACTATTACATAAGGACACATTGTAAAATTAATTCAAGACTAGATACGGCAATATTGTGAAATTAATTTTGTTAATTTTTATATAAATTTATGGAATTAATTTTTATATAGCTTATAATATTTTGATTATTAGATTTACCTGACTATTACATATGGACACATTGTTAAATTAATTTAAGACAGTGAAGAGACAGGTACCTAGAACAGGTATCTACGGTATAAATAAGGATAGCTTTGTAAGTATGATTAGTTTGATCTTTCTCTTGAAGATGATCACTTGGTGATCGAAACACATATCTAGGTGTTAAAAATAACGGTTGGGTGTAGGAAAAAAACTCCAATAATATTCATTACTACACCAAAGGTTTCAAACAGTGCATCACAAGTACATTGGCTCTATTTAATTGAATTTACAGTGTAGTTAACGATGAATTTTTATGTAATATTTGACTAGAAAAGATTCAAAATATGTAATGAAGTCAGGCTTTAATTTTTACAAAAGAAGAGAAATTTATTTAATATTAAAATCACAACACAACATGAATCGGTTTTACAGGTTAAGGTAAGACAAACTAGACTAGACCGATGACCCATTCGGCGCAGCGTCGGACTACAGAGCGTGTCGGACTGTTAAAATGTCGGACTATCGCGAGTCAACTGTACTATTACTGATAATGTTAATAAATGCTATCAGTGAATATGTTCAACATGTTATCCTCTGATTTTTATATATAAAGAAAAATATCATAGTTTATTGATTCATTCACAATCGTTGAGGGTTGGTTTTTTGTTTTTTAAGGATCTAATCAAGAATCTTAAAAGCAGCATAAAGGAGCAAAACGAACTCAAAAGATCCATTTCACGATTGAGTAAAAAACATAGAAATTCTTTGGAAAAAAACTCAAAATCAAATAATACTAAACCAAATGAAAAATCAAAAATGTTGGAAATCACCAAAAGTAAGAAGAAACGTTTAAAGATAATAAGAAAGAAACAAGAGCGCCAAAGTATAAATATAGTTAAAACTAAAGATTGTGAAGGTGAAAAAAATAATAGGAATGAAGTTCAAGTGGAAATATCAGGCGATAAAGGAGAAAAGAAGAAACATAATAATAAAACAATCTTGAATTCCGGACCTATGAAAAATGAACATTCAAAGGCAAAGAAAAAATATAGGAATTTGAAAAAAAGGTTAGAAACTACAATGCAACATGGAACTTTTATAAATCAAGTAAACATAACTGATGAAGAAGTATTGATAAAAAATGATAGTAACAAAAAACCAATAGTGGCACTCAGCAAATCTTCAAAAAAAATTTTGAATTTTGATCATCAAACCAAGGCAGTAAATAAAAAAAAAAAGTTTTTTGAAAAACTCAAACAGACACTCGCAAAACCAATGGACAAAAAACCTCAGCTCACATTGAGGCAGAAGATGTTAGATAAATTGAAAGCTGCAAGGTTTCGTTTTCTTAATGAACAAATATATACTACGAATAGCAAAGAAGCTCAAAAGATATTTCAAAGTGATCCAGATGCTTTCCAGGCTTATCATGAGGGGTATAGAAAACAGGTTAAAAGGTGGCCCATGAATCCACTTGATGTAATCATCAAAAGTATTAAAACAATGTAAGTACGTATTAGAGAAAAAATGTAAGATATAGATAGATAGATATATTTCCAGTATATAAAACCATCTTTATGAAACTTATCGGACTACTCGACATATGAATGAAAAATATAAACAACATAAAAATAAAAGCATATCATCAATATTCAGGTACTACTCAATTTATAAAAAGGAACTATACACAATTTTAGAAAACAATATTATGAAAAATCTCAAAATCTCATTCATCTATTGAATGAAATGAATTTTTAAATAAAAAATCAAACAATATTGATTTGAATAATTTCAACGTCTCAATTCCACCTATTAACGAACTGTGTGATTATATCATATTATATCTTGATACATATATAAATTCTGTTAAGTCCTAAATAAAAAAATGGCATCGGATACTATTAGCATTGCGTGTGCATTAATCGTGTATCATAAAACCTCTCTCTCAAGAGTTATCAAATATATATTCAAACATGATAGAGTTAGAATTCCTAACCAAACAAATATTTTTCTACATTTCTCCCTCTCTTACGAGGTTTGGCATACATCTCAAAATTGTTTTCTGTAACAAGAATACTTTTTGTGTGAGCAGAATTACCCCAAAAAATGAGACCAAAGCTCAGTGTTGAATAAACAAGACCATAATAAGCCAGCTTAAAAAATTGTAGCGACACTTTACTTGTAATTGTCTCTTGACAAAGTAAACACTGCTCAGTTTGGATACAATATGATCTGTATAACATTCCATGTCAACTTCTGATCAATATATATTTCAAGAAATTTGATTCACTTTGTTGATTGAGTGTGACTATTCTGGTTATTTCTTTCGGTCTTGACAAGTTCTTCATAGTTTAACTTAATACGAGGAGGAATTGGCGATGACACCAAGCCACCATCTATGAGATAGACAGATGTCCAACAATGCATTTGTGATTCAACCTGGACCACTGATGGGTCGAAATAGCGCTGTCAGGTGTTGGATCACGAATGCCTTGTTTTTGGGCTCTGGTTTCAACTAGTTGCCTTACAGTGAAAGACAGAGGAGGAATATTGTTTAGCGGTCGATGTGGAAACTTGACTGCTACGTACCACTTTAGGGAACCTTGTTTATCTTTGATATTTGTGGATTTAGCCTTGTCAAGCTTATCCTTTAAGGACAGTCGAGTCTAACAATGCATTCGAAGTTGAGATCTATGGTGGGTTGAAATAGCGCTGCCGGGTATTGGATCACGAATGATTCATTTTTTGGTTTCGTGTTTGGTATTCACCTTTGTGTATATGTGGGACCAGATAATGCTATTATCTTTACTACTACTATTATTATCATTATCATCACTGGTGACACCTTCCTTATATGCAGGCGCGGTGTAGACACTAAAAAATTTACATTTTCTTCTAATGAAATAATTTTTTTGAGTATAAGGGAATGCACTTAAAAGTACAAAATTATTGTAAGATATATAAATAACAAAAAGGGTTATTTTTCAAATGAAAATAAATTAATTATAAATTTCCTATGTTTTACAGGTGTACACTTTTTTATTATTATCCTAGTTGTGGAGAAAATTATAGATAATTTACACTGATAAATTGTTTTTTCATGTGTGGTCATTGATAAAATATGTTGTATATGTTCTACGTATATAGTCAATTTGAATCAATTACAGTTTCCCCGATGGAATAATACTCATCGTTTATAATTTATCTAAGGCTTGACGCAGAAATGAATGTCTGATCTGCTTCTTATTGCTTTGATATACTTCATTGTGTTTGTCAGTGTTTATTTTCAATTGTATATTTTTACAATTTCCAAGCATTTCAGACAATTATCTAAGATTTCCCTTCACTTAAGAAAATTAGATACAAGTTTTTATCTAACCATGTGAAATTTTCATAGCTTTCAATATTCATAAACCATAAATAATCTCAATATACAAAAGTTGAGATATGATTATTCAAGGCTATTCAAATTCAAGATTTTGCAAGGGGAATCTCTTTAAAAGAGAAAGTCAGTTGAATGGTGGCAAAGTTGCCTATTTTTGTGTACTCTTGAATGATAGCCCTTCTGGTTTCCGACGTATATGAAAAAAAAAAAAAAGAAAATTTTATTTAGTTGTTTAGGTATCTACAAATAACATACACGGCTGTTTTTTGTAGCAAATTGATATTCATTACCATTTTACTATTAATACAAATGGTCTTATGAAAAATATCTATAACTATTCATTATAACATTATCATACAGACACTGCTACACTTTTTTCCTCTCAGAGGAATTGAGTATCTTCAGAAGTATATATTTTATCTTATATTTTTTTTCAATTTGCAGGCCAAAATCTTATGTCATAGCCGATTTTGGTTGTGGAGATGCAAAATTGTCCAAGACAGTAAAGCAAAAAGTATTCTCCTTTGATCTGGTGGCAACAGACGAAACTGTAGTTGCTTGTGATATCTCCAGAGTTCCATTAGAAAACAGTTCTGTAGATATAGTTGTGTTCTGTTTGTCACTCATGGGAACAAATCTGAATGAATATATATTAGAAGCCAACAGGGTCTTGAAAACTGGGTGAGTGGTAAACTATACTGTAGTTCATGTTACCAAGATGATTTTTGCATCAGGTATTTTTAATTGGTGATTGACTTAAAACTAACAGACATTTGTAAAGTGGCTTTGTTTCTAAGTACAATGATAATTATTAAGAGAAACGTATAGTTAGGCATCACGAGTTGTACCAGAAACATACCCACTTTAAAAATTGTTGTCAGCTTTACATCAACCGCTGATGATACCAAATGTCAATCCATTAACGTCTATTATCTATGTATTTTGAAAAAAATTACTCTTTTTCAGAGGAACGTTGAAAATAGCTGAAGTTGAGAGCAGATTTGAGAACATTGAAGAGTTCATCAAGTGGGTACAACACTATGGTTTCAAAAATACTTGGAAGGATTTATCACATGATTTGTTTTATTTTATGGATTTTAGAAAGGATAACAATGTAAAGAATAGAAAGAAGTTACCTACTTTAAGTTTACTTCCTTGTTTATACAAAAAACGGTAATTAAACATTTTTACAAAGTAAATTTCACTTGATTACATACTAATTATCTCATGACTGTTTGATTGAAAAATTGGTTAGGGTTTTCAACTCCATCTAAAACGTCTTCAGCTTCTTCTCGCAAGTTCTCCACTCTTTCAAGCAACAGCATCTGAAATAAAGTGTTTCTTTAGTGACCACCTCAGCTAATATAATTCTTCATTAATTTTGTATTTCAAAGGGACCACTACAACAAGATGGTCGAGCCAAACTCAAGGAAAACAAAAAAAAAGTAAAAATTACAATTTGAATTGAAATTTCTCCGAAATATTGTTTGCCATTTTAACAGAAATTCCCTCGAAATGTCTCAATGTTGGTTTATGTCAAACCGGTAAACATTGTATTTGCAAACTTTCGATCATATGTTGATTTTCGTAAGACGTCTGCAGATTGACCCAAAAAGTTCCAAACAATCATGTTCGTACTGAAATGATCATAGTGATAATCTGAATTTTTAATACATTGGGTGTTATCCCTATTGAAAATTGGGATGGCTTGGGCTGATGAAAATGCATATCTTTTTAATCAATTAATTGTTACAAACAGGAAAAGATTTGAAGATAAAAGTCCATTCATCCAAAATGATGCTATTTTGAGGCCACATTATACAAATAAAAACAATTATTTTGATTAATTATAAAAAAGCTTATATATTATGTGCTTACGACTGTCATACAAAAGCCGTTCGTTTTGAGATGTTATATATACGTCAATTTTCATGTGTCAAATATTAAATTATACCTATTGCATCCAAACAAGTCTTATATGAGACCATCTCTTGTGAACTGATAAAAATAAGTATTTTTTCAATTTACAAATTTTGTTTCTATAGAAATTATGAAAACTGTACATTTATTAGAATATCAAAGTTTATGTTTTAAATATTACTATCAATAAAATCCCCTTTGAAAACTTGTTTTGACATGTTTAAAAAAATTATCAATAGTAACAACGTCATATATCCCTTGGAGAGGTAAAAAAATATGGAATCGAATAACTTATTCATATACTGGGTGTTCTATTTAAAAAAATATAACTTTGGTAGGCCAAGCTCAGCTGAATAACCCAGTGAGCGAGAAAATAATTTTAAAAGATAGTATTTATCGATATGACTGTCAAAAAAAATGGGCAGTTCGAAAAATTGTTTCCTCTGACAGCAATGGACCGAGGGAATCTTGTTGACTCACCCTGTATATTTCCAGTATGATTATGTCACTAAGACCTGTTTAAAATATTTTTTCTGTTAACCAGCTTGTTTATGGTAATTACATCTGTTCTGTTCTGTTTTTCCGTTAATCAGCTGTCGCCCCCATACGAACGACAACTCTCAGAAGTTGAGAAACTTGTGCGAGCTAAGGACTAACGAGGTCTTACCTTTTAACGTGTGATTCCTAACACGGTTGCAGAATCATTCCAGCTTCAACCAGATAAATTCTCTCGGGAAAATTATCTGGTCGAGGCGGGATCGAACCCACGGCCTTCCGATCGTGAGTCGGGCGCACTACCACCGCGGCCAATTCCATAACTATTTGTTATGATTAGATTGCCTGACGGGTTATTATTTACCATAGCTATTACCAGCAGAAATGATATGTGAACATGTCTCTTACCTTTGAAGCAGCAACTATTTGATTAGCAGTTCGTCTTGACATAAACTCAATACTCTCCATCAGTTCGTTTGAAATAGCTTGATACATAAGCATAATTAAAAAACAATATCAATGAAAAGTCAATAATTTATTCATTACTGCACTTTTCAAACAGTGAAACTTTGATTTACTAATTACGAAAAATTATTTTGCCCCCTAATATGTTTTACTGTAAAAATGGGGTGTTCCATCGCGAGTGGCGGACAGTGTATATCACTTTGGCAAACCCCATTCAGGTGGTAGGTGCATTTTGAGCATTTCCATCAGTCCTGAGAGTTTCATCGTTCTACCTCGAATATTACGGAAGATACGGGGTTCAAGTGACTTTCACTTAGAAACCTGACTTCTACAAACGATACGTCGGCGATTGTAATTAGTGTATCATTATCAACAAATTAAAATTCTCACATCATGCTTTCAACTCCTTCCATGTTCTTTTGCAATAATTTACAATTGAAAAAGAAAGTAACTATAAATTTTCTGAATATTACTTTGAAGTGATCTGAACACAGAGAAATTGAGACTGATTAGATCGGATTTCATAAAAATAAACCAAAAAACCTTCATGTGATCAGAACACTATTAAAGGCAAATAACTTTTCATCACATTTCTATGAAACATTTATAAATAAAACGTTCACACCAACTTTACAACACAAATGATAAAAAAAAAAAAAGGAAAACTTAAACTTTACTATATACCAAACCATATGCTTCAGTTCTCTCAGATAATATTCAGAGAATTTTAGATAAACACAAAATTAAAGTATAATAATAATCTATATTTTGCTTTTTGACATGATTAAACTGAACTGAAGTGGGAAAAGATATTTCTACATGAGTATGTACAGGTTATCCTAGCAATGAGTCGCAGAATCTTTTTTGTACCGAGAAAACATCTTGTGCTAGTGTGGATCCGCCCCAAAAGATGATCCCATATCGTATTCTTGAAGACACATGAGCATGATATATCATGAGTAATTGTTCACATGTACTTCTCTGAGCTGTCGAAACACAAAACAAAGAGAATTCAACTTTCTAATCAGATTATTACAGTGAGATTTCCAGTTTACATAATCATCAATTGTGATGCCTAAAAATGTTGCTTTGTCAGTGCAACTTAATTTTTTATTGCCAACACTAAGTGTTATATTAGAAATATTTTTGTGAACGTGATGATACCTCATAATGTGTGTTTTCTTAGTATTAAAGAAAAGTGAATTTGCGCTACATCATGAAGTTATGGTACTCAATAATCGCTCAAATTCCCCAGCAATAATATCATCTGCTTTAGTCGAGATCAGTATGGATGTATCATCCGCGTAAATAACAAAGTGTGTATCTTTAGCTAAGTGTCAATTTCGTTGATATAAAAAAGGAACAGAATGGGCCCAAGTACTGAGCTTTGGGGAACTCCCATATTTATATCAAGACTGTTTGAGTCAGCCTTTCTAGACTGTTCGTCATTATTCTTAATACTGACGTATTGTTAACGATTACTCACAAAAGACATTATCCAATCAAGAGCAACACCTCGGATGCCATAAGAATATAGTTTAGAGAATAATAATAATGATAATAATTTTATTATTCTCAAGAAACACACAGTTTTTAGAGGATAAGATTCGTCAATATAGTTTCTAAAAAATGCTTATGATAAATTAGAGTTACAAAAAAATACAAGTTAACAAGATAAAATTCCAATCATATAAAAATTGACTAAAATGTAAAGCCATGAGCTTTACAAATTATAAATCACATATCTAACATATTACATATATTCAAAGTTGAGTAACCACTCAAGGGAGGTGACCACAAAAGTGTCTCTTTCTTCTTGAATAACTTCGAAAAATTGATCAATTTCATATAAAGGATGTTTGGTTAATATTTTATTCAATAAGTTTTTGAATCTTCTGAATGGCAAGTTACGAAATTAGACAGATATTTCTTGTATCATGTTGGTGTATATCCTTGTGAGCAACTTTATTCATCAAGTTTTGTTGAACAAGAAGCAGATTTTCATAGACAATAACTGAGTATAGGGTCATTATTTTAAATTTTGCAAATATTGGTCGACACTTTTATCATAATTGGCAGAGATTATGCTTCTTACTGCAGATTTTTCATGACAAATATTCTATTAAGATGTACCTTTGATGCATTATTCCAATTGATTATGCCATACCTAAGGACTGAATGAAAAAGTGAATGATATGTTGGAAGTGCCGCATTTTGATATACTATTTTTTTAATTCTTCTGATAGCAAAAACTGTCTTGCAAAGTTTGCTACACATGCTATTTATATAGTCTATCCATTTCAGGTTGGAATATATTTGTAGTACCAAAAATTTGGTAGAATTTTTGTTATCTCGATTTAAGCAAATTGTTTCAAAAGTTAGAGTTTCTGTTTTTTGTTCATTGAGAATCAAGTCATTTGGTGTGAACCATGATTGAGCTTTCTCTAATATGTCAGTATGGATCATATGAGGATCATCTATCTTACCTATTTTTTTGCTCAAGGTTGCATCATCTGCATACAATATAGTTTCTATGTCTGACAAGTTCATCACGTGAGGCAGGTCATTGATATAGACTAGAAACAGAAGTGGCCCCAGTATTGGCCCTCGTGGCACTCCTCTTAATAAAATATCATGCTGAACGCAGTCAAACGCCCTGTTGAAATCACAAAAGATTCCAACAGGGCATTCCCCGGCCTCCAAAAAATGAATAACCTTTTTTTAAATTGCTAAGGTGGCAGTGTTAGTCGACTTCATTTGGCAAAATCCATGTTGATTTACAGAGATCAGAGCATTACTCTCAGTAAATTCCATCAGTCGTTCCATAAAAGCATACTCAAACATTTTTGAAAAGCTAGAAGGTACGGTAACGGGTCTGTAATTTTCCATTAATAGTTTATTTGATTTTTTATGGATTGGTACGACTTTGCCAAGTTTCAGATTGCTTGGAAAACACCCTGTCAGTAGGGTATAAATCAAATATGAACAAACACCAGGTTATGAACAATGAACAGCATAATGGACCAAGCTGCTTTATTTTCTATTTCCAAATATTTTTTAGAAAATGCCCATCACTTTGATTTACAAAATATTGAAGCTTCTTCATCTGATTATCAGCAAAGAATAACAAATAGCTCTTAATCAATGTGACATTTTGATTTACAAAATAATGAAGCTTCTTCATCTGATTATCAGCAAAGAATAACAGAAGGCTCTTAATCAATGTGACATTTTGTTCATTTTGAATTTGCAAATTGACGTAGTCTAACCACTCTCATTCAACCTTGATAAAAAGATTTACATCTTAGTTTTTGAAACTCTATTATTTTATAGTTTTTCATTTTATTTTTATCTCACTGTACGATAACGTGATTTTAAGAATGTGTTGTGTATTACATATATATTTATATATTTGGGACACCCGTGATATCATTAGTGTAAATTATTATCCAGTTGTCAAATAGATGTCAATTAAAAAGATCACAAAGAGAAGTCACATATTCATTATAAAGTGTTATTAATACATACATCAAATCAAATACTACTCATTCACAACAGAATGTTATTCCTACTGATTGACTGACTGTGATAGCATATTATCACTGAAAATGTTAAATGTAATTTATTGTCAGTGAAGTTACTGTTTAAAAATGTGTTTTTCAGAAAAGACGAAACGTTCGGCGTTATTATATGACTAAAAATGAATATACATATATCATATCTAATTTTATTTCGATATAGACCTAATCTGCCGAGAACAACTACCAATTAAATAGAAGATCAGAAAAACATGGTTAAGTGACCGGCTCCCGAGTTCGGATTCCCTTTCAACCAAATATTTTCATGCGAGAATTTATCTAGTTGAACGTGGAATTAATTCAGCTATGTTACATGGTTAACAGGACTGCACTTCGACGAAAAAGTTAAAACTAACCTGATATTTTTCAGAAACTTTGAACACAGGCATTTCGTTCCACAAATCATAGATCATTAAGGTAACATAAAATCTGTTAATAACCCTTTCCGGTACATTCTGAAAAAAGCAACATCACTCATTTGAAATTTTCTTTTACTTTTATTTTACCTTTATTGGATTGTTTGATAACATTTTGACAGCCACTGATTCGGTTAGTCCAAGAGTTTTAGCTACTTTCAATTCATTGGGTTTCAGATGTGTGAACTAAAATGCATTTATAAGAACATAAATAAAATAGCGTGAACTTTTAGGTAAATCGGTTTCATCATACCATTTCATAATATACTTGCATATTGGGTCTGATCTGTTCTGCAGTTTCATAGGGAGTAACCAAATAAAGTAAATGCAAATGACCTTGTAAAACTAGACAAGACTGAGCTTGATGGAGATCTTCATAAAGTAGATGAGCCCTGGAAAGTTCTAAACCACCTAAAAATATAGGAATTGATCATTACTTTTTTTGTTAGTGTGATGGTACCTTTAATTGCTGCACAACCCAACTCACTAACAATTAGTTTGGTATCATTTGTGAGTACTACAGTTTTTTTTTGTTTTGTAGGAGTTCTTGTGACAACTTCCCCAACAGTCGTGTCCACAACGGAAGTCTGAAACAATTCCAATTGGTATTTTTCAGTACTTTATAAAAATAAACTCACATCCATTTTTACAGATATATCACAAATGGTGTTAGAAGACTCTGTTTTTTGAATTCCACATGATTCCTTTAAAGCACCCAGCTTAAATAAATTTTTAATGACTTTATCAGTCAATATTTTAATGTTCACTTCTAACTTGTTTGACTGAACAGCTAATAATGTGTGTTGTGTCACTTTTTGTAACTGTATTCTTGTATTTGCAATACCCAAACTTATACAACTCAATAATAAATGCCTGAAATTTTCAATTAAACCAATATTAGAAAACCAAAGATGGTTAATTAGGTATGGTGTAACAGAATTCTTGAAAGTTACCTCAATCCTTTGCCATCGAAAAGATGCATGTTTGAATGGGCTCTATTCATAGGTGACATTAGAAACTCCTTTACTTTTGGTAAATCTTGAGGTTGGACGATAAGTATGCTATCCCCTGCTTCATCTATAATAAAACATGTTGATCAATTTGGCTGACACACTACTTTACATTTACTAATGAGGGAACATAAATTTTATTTAAAAATTGAAAGGAACTAGCCAATACTTGAGGAAAATCCACATCAAAACTAACTGATAAGGTTCATTTTCACTATTTATAATAAATCCACTATTCCAATTTCCTGTACATTTATCCAATCGCTAAGATAATCTAACAGCAGAGGCCGAAGAACTAGAATTCTAACTGGAACCACAAATGTGCGGTTGGCTTCTGCTGTTGACTCCGTGCGTATGTTTTGTTTCCTGCTTTTGGCAAACAAGTGTTGCCCATCTTCACAATTGGCTGCACCGCACTAATGAGGCCAATAGCCAGAAACACGTGTCCGCGCCCCCCTTTTTAGAGTGTTGTGTTCACGAATTGTTTCATTCTTGATTTGTATCATAGACACTCGATAAATTCTCTATCTGTATTCATATCCTGGACTCGGATGTCACGCAGGTAGCATAGCTGCCTACGTGGTCATGTTAGATGTAGCCTGGGAATTCTAGGTCTTCTAACTGGAACCGCAAATGTGCGGTTAGCTTCTGCTGTTGACTCCGTGCGAATGTGTTGTTTCCTGCTGTCGGCAAACAATTGTTGCCCATCGTTACACTTGGCTGCACCGCGCTGATGAGGCAAATAGCCAGAAACACGTATCCGCGGTTTGCCCCACTTTTTGGAGTGTTGCGTCCACGAATTGTTTCATCCATGATTTCTATCATAGTCCATAAACTCTCTACTACCTACTACTTACATGTTGTTGAGTTTTACCTGAGTTCTTCTTCTTCTTAGTTGACCTCATCTCCCCGTTAAGGTATCGAATATGAAATCTGAAGTTTTCACGGATAGAAATATGCTGAACTGGTTTTTCCGGGTATTTGATCCGTGTATGTGATATTATCTCTAATTTCACCGACGTTTCGACAAAATTCCAACTAAAACATTTTCGACATTGCGGAGTTGCCACTTCCATCAGACAGTATAGCAACTTTTATTTTTCAAATGGAACACCCTGTATATAATATAATTTTTCGAATCTACAATTACCCGACAACTTTTCTTGATATTGCCTATTCCTATCTGTTACCGTTTTCAGAATATGAATTAATTTCAATTTTTTTCTTCGAAAATCATGACCTTCAAAAATGCTGATACCTTTGAGTTAAGGAATATTATGGTACCGAAATTTGATTTGGAGTTAGGTGATACTTGGGACTTCTCACACTTCAGCATAATCTCTGTTACATTAATACAGTTTTTTAGTTTGCTTGAAAAAAAGACTGAAAGTTGATTATTTCAAACTGAACACCCTGTGTATTATTACAAATTCAGGAAGTTGTTCAAATTTGCTTTCTTTCTATGTATATTATGCGTATACTAGTTAAGTTTCAGACTTATGAGCATTTATTCGTGAAATAGCCCATTCAGAATGGTATTCCCATTCGGTATTTTGTAAGCAGGCCATGTTTACTATTTGACAGAAACGTTGTGACATTCTCCTAATGATATTGACATTTTCGTCACCTCAGAAGTTTCAAATGCCTTCAAAACGATGAAACAAAACCATTCAAACGGAATTCTTATGAAATTGTTTATTATTTTTGGACAGTGTGACAAAATTATCAGCAGAACATGTAGAAAGTTCAATGAAATGTATCCGAATCTACCGCCAATGAACCTCAAGAAATTTATACGAATTCAGAACAATTTCAATGCATTCGGATCAACTTTAAAACGATCAAGAAACTTGCCTTGACCTGTAACTTCTGAAGACAAACAGATTTAATGTCTTAGCATATTTTCACGCATTTCCTGAGTCATCGATAAGAAGTGATGAAGAAGATTTGGGTATAAAATATTCATCGGTTCAGAGATTCTTGCGAAGACATAAAATGTATGATTATGAATTCACCAAAATTCAAGTAATTGAGCCTCAACAGAGAGCTGAATTTTGTGAAATGTTGACACGCATTCAAGAAGATCCATTTTTTTTAAATAAAATTATTTGTACTAATGTATGGTACATCAAATTAAAATTTTATATAACAATTACCTGACTCACATTTGGGGACTACTGGCATTATTGTTAAACCCATGAAGACATTAACCATTATATTACATTATATAGAATCTTCATCAACAAATAAACGTCAATTAAACGTTTTTTCACATACTATTTGAATTCTCTCAATATTTCTCTAACATGAATTGACAATTTATTAAATAATTTGATACCCACATAAAAGGGATTTGATTCGGATCAGTCTGTGAATTGGTATTTTCAGTGAAGTTGAATTTCTTGTATTACCTATACTTGTTTTTGTTCAATGGAGCAAATAATTGTTTGTCTGATTTTACAAAGATCAGCCGCTGGTAGATATAAATACAAGGCAAAGTAAAATTTTTCAGATTTCAAATAGTTATTTACAGCTTGTGCATCTACTTACTCTCTGAATATTTTTGACAGTTCTCTTTTGTACAATAAACACCCTTTGCGCTTCACTACATATAAATACAGTTTCTTCCATCATGTGGTAACATTGCTATATTTTAAACCTAACAGATATGGGAACGATTAAATGTGGAAAAAAGTTAACTATCATGGGTAACAGTACAATGACCAGAAAAAATTCATAGACTTTCGCCTTTCTCGAGTTATACAGGGAAAACTAAAAATACTGTTTTTTTACAAACAGAATTTCAGAAAAAATGAAAAGTTTTGTTGTACTTGAAATGTACTTAAAAAAAATCTGTTTAAAATCTGTTTTTCCGTTAACCAGCTGTCGCACCCCTACGAACGACAACCATCAGAAGTCGAAACTTGTGCGAGCTAAGGATTAACGAAGTCTTACCTTTTAACGTGTGACTCCTAACACGGGTTGAACGATAGCAAGTGAAAATCGATCGTTCAGACTGGGGCTTGAACCACCGACCAACACGGCAGTCAATTCGAGTGAGGGAACAAAACACCTACGTCAAACCGCCTGGCTACTATAACGATGTAACCATAAATCTTTGATCAAACGTTTCATATCAACACGACCACCATCAACTTAAATTCCCAAATACGGACATGTCACTTTTATTACAAATATTGATGGATGAAGCTATAAAATCACAATTCAGTGGTATATTTCACTTGATATTTTTATAATATTTCATTTAATATAATTAGCATCATCAGTGACAACAATTTTTAATCACGGTCCTGTCTTCATTTCATTTGTGAATTGTATTTATTTATTCTAAACGTATTAAACTATAGGCATACCTCAGAGAATACCCAAAAATATTGATAACAGGATACCCCAACACAACGAACATTCATATTTTTCCTTTTTGGAAATGTATGTATTACAGAAATATTTGTTTCAAGGTTGACTTCTCCTGAATCAATTTTTATACGGATTATTTTTATAATTTTCAATCTTGGAAGTAACAAACATATCAGTTTTTGATCAAAATATTATCGATGTGTAATTTGGTACAATTAAATAGCTTCCGTCTTCATTTACCATTTTTCAACAGACTTTGCAGACTTTGCTTGGTTTATATGACAGAAAAAATAAATGAGCTGTCAGTATCTGTAAAGAACTGTTAGATGTAAAAAAAAAATTCTAATCGACATTGTTTTTCAAGAAAAACTGCTTACGAACTAGGGATTTCTGTAAAATTTTACAGAAATATTTAAAGAAAGAACAAATACAAATGCTACAGGATATGGACGTTTCATTACCTTATTGAAAGGGATTAGGGAAGGAAAGTACAATTCTTGAAGTGGTTAAGACGTAGAAATTGGGAAGTTGGAAATATTTGAAGGAGAATAATATGGATGGACGAATCAAAATTCACCAACAGAAACATCCACTATAGGTGAAATATAGGTGAACATTTATATAGAGAAACTAATTTCCAGGAAAGGTTCGGAATGAATTTTTGGTTGGGAATTTTGGGAACAAACATACTAAGTCCTTCCAGTCACAATGAGCATTTCAATGGTGAAATGTATCTACATTTTTTATCCGATGAGTTTGATGGATACTTAGATGAATTACCACTGAACATCACAATTACCGTGAAATACAATATTTTCAACAAGACGGTGCCCCTCCCCATAATACAGCAATAGTAAAGGAACATTAAGATGCAATATTCCCAACAAAATGGATTGGAAACAATGGACCAATCGTAAATCTATCAGATTAGCATTGGTTGAAAACAGCATAGAATCTACAACTGGCTGGATCTATGTCATGCTTGTAAACAATAGGAAATATTTTCAAAGTGAAGCCATTAGATTGAGGGTCACCAGGGGCCGCCCTTAGGGCGGGGTACTATCCGCTTTCTTTGTTCGATCATTCCTGATAGATAGTCTGCTAGATATGTCCTCGACAGAAGAGATCAGAAAACTTATGCAGATGTCTGTAACTGTGATAGTTTCCTTCACCAAGAAGAGGAATCTGAATAATTTTACTCCACTTTCCTTCAATGATGATGGTAGTCTATTTTCAGCGGTGAAATATCTAGGTATTATTGATAAAAAAACTTACCTAGAATGCACACTTGGAGATTTTACACAAAGTATTTGTGGAAAATTTTGGGGCTAGAGGCCCAAACAAAACCTTTGAATATGTGTGATGATTGTTGGAACAATACTTGCTCATGAAGTCATTGCCTGGTGGTCGAAAGCAAATGGCTCAGTAGATCAAACTGGAAGAATATTTGAAGCACACATAAGAAAACAGAAACAGTTTCCAAAACACTCACTCTTACAATTCTCACAGAGAGATATGATTTCAACCCCTTCATTTCCAGAAGAAGAAGAATCGTGTCGCGATTTTGTAAACCTTTCATAGTGAAAATCTCACAGTAAACTCTATTGGTAAGTCCCATTCAATCATTTTTTCAGAATGAAATTAAACATTCTGATTGAGCAAAATGTACAAAAGTATTCACACTAACTAACAACCTAAGCCAGCTCTTCCAGCTCTACCGACCATCTGCTTGTAACGTGACAGATTGATAAATTCTCTTCCAATGTATGGAGATCGTAAGATAACTCTTCTAGCAGGTAAATTCACACCAGCTGCTAAAGTTGAGGTGCAACATATCACATAAATTATGCCTGCTCGAAATCCTTCTTCAATAATTCTTCTTTCATCATTAGTCAGACCTGAAAGCAGTGACATTTTATTATACTAAAATCAACATTTAGTAAAGTTGAGATTTTCACAATATATTGAACGAAAGTCTTTTTTGTGGAAAAAAATCAGTTTTCATAGAATTTTTTGGGGTATTATATNTATATATATATATTCGTCGGTGCAATGCCACACCCACGAATGTGCAAAATTTTCATTTTTCACCTAAGTATACCACTAATAATATCCCAGTCATTACTTTACTCTGCCACGACCACGAATGCGATTGAACGTTGAAAGATGGTGGGGAGAAGATGTGCTTTTGCACGAAAGTCAGACTGCATTGTAAAGCGTGTATCGAGAATGTACCAATTCGCGTTTGTGGCAGTGAAGAGATTAAGTTGACCTGCGACGTGCAAATGCATGAAAAAAAACGTTTTTTACGTTTTCTGGAAAATGTTACATAAAAAAAACAAGGTATCACACTTTAGCCGTCGATTTGGCAACTTGTTTGACTGAAATAAAATAATTATCGTTCAATATTTTTTTCAGTATTTAAAAGGCCCGATTGGTTTTACTAATGTAGTTTCTTCCTATTAGATCTGAAAGAAAATTGATGACGAATGCGACACCAAACAAAAAAATGGACCAAGAACATCAAACATTTCTGCTTCTGTACCCTATAACGAAGGAATACTTTGTCCAACGGTTTCAAAATACCAACTAGAAGGTATTGCTTTTTTATCATAAAATTTTACATTACTGATAAATATAACAAAGAATTTGTTTTAGCACTATCTTTAGTAGAGATTTCGGGCACCTCCTGTAGGGAACCGACATTCGATAGCGAACTAGCTTCAAACAAGAGTAACTTTTCATCAGATAACTATAATTCCATAGAGGACTCATATTCTAGCAGTTCTTCCTGCTCTTCTTGTTCGAGCTCTACCGATACAACATCAGAATCAGAGGATTCAAGTGAAATGACAGAAAATAAATTAAGTAAGTTAACATACAATTATTCTAAAGCTATTTTTTTTTTCTCAAGGTGAGGGCCCTAAGAGGAAGGAGAAAAACATAAACACTCGGAAGAAAAACACAAGGAAACAAAAAAGATAAAAAGGACCAGCACGTCCCAAGTTACCTTCCCCGTGTTCTGGTAAAGCACACCACAAATGTGACACTTTTATCGACGAGGAAAACCGACACAAAATTTACAATAAATTTCGTCAAATGATTTCGGTAGATGATCAGCGATTTTTTTGAATAATCATATTATTAAACAAAAGAAAAAGAGAATGACTAGAAACATTGAAAATTCAAGAAGAACGTTCACCATAAGTCACTCGTTTACCGTTAATGGGGAAAAAAGACAAGTATGACGGGGCTTTTTTATGGCTACCCTCAATGTAACAGATGCATTTATGCGCGGATCTGTAGCAAAGCTTTCTTCTAGTGGCATAGTTGAAAAAGAAAATCGTGGAAAACATGTCCCACACGACAAATTGAAAGACGATAATGAACTGCTGATTCGTAAGAACATTTTTACATTTCCAGCCGTGGAGTTCCATTATTGTAGGGCCTTTAGTACCAAAAGGTACCTGGATTATCGACTAAACATCTCTATTATGCACAAATTGTACAAATCAAAGTGCGCAGAATTAAATGTCCGTTCAGTTTCTTTAGAGAAGTATTGACGAGTGTTTAGAAGCTACAACTTGGGGTTCCATAAACCCAAAAAGGACCAGTGTAAAAAGTGCTCAAAATATAAGATTATGCCAGAAGAGGAAAAAATGCAGGAACAGGCTCATCACGAACACATGCTACGGAAATGATTAGCTCGTGAGGCTCGAGATGAAAACAAAGAAATGGCAAAGAGTCATTCCGAGGTACAATCATTTAACTTTGACCTCGAAGCAGTGCTTACGACTTCAAAGAGTCCAACAGGGCAAATATTTTACTTACGAAAATTGGCTATTTACAACTTGACTATCTACAATTTAGGGAATCAGGATGGAATTTGTTACCTTTGGGATGAAACCCAAGGAAAAAGGGAAGATATCCTCGTGTATTTACAATTACACTATTAATCAACCAAACATTACTGAGGTTCGAATGATGTTGGACGGGTGCGGCCGGCAACAAAAAAATTCTCATTTTGCTAGCATGTGCTTGAAACTCCTTACAGATGACACTAATTTAAAAACTATTGATTACAAGTTTTTTGAATCGGGACATACCGAGATGGAGTGTGATTCACTCTACTCCAAAATTGAACAGAAATCAAAATATGTTCCTGTTTTGATTTCTGTTCAATTTTGGGGTTTGTTAAGGAGGTTGCGTTAATGGCCATGGTTCGATTGCACACGGCTGCTGTAAACCTAGAAGTAGGAATGGGTCGATTGATGCTGGGCCTATGGCGGGAAGCGCTTACTGCGCAACCTCTGCTGCAGGCAACAAGTGATGCAATTGAACCCAGGTTTGTGTTTAATAAACCCTACAAAATACAAATTAAGCAGAACACAGAGTCAGATGCTACAAATGCAATACGGATTTATACAGATGGCTCAAAAACCAAAGAAGGTTCAGGATGTGGAGTGTACTCCAGATCACTAAGCCTAAGGATTAAGTGGGGAATGGGAAGAAATACCAGCGTGGTCCAAACAGAACTGGCTGGTATCTCAATCGCCACAAAAGAAATAAC